AGAAAGGACAAAGCATCTTTGCTCTGCCAAAATCATGAAACATCATCCTCAGCCTAAGAACTTTACAGACTCTTCTTTAAAAACAAAACAGAACAAAGATTTATCCAAGAATTACTAACTGCAGTGGCCTAACACCCATCTGACGTGCTTGCGTTAGGGCCCAAGTCACAAGACACCGTTTTGCCTTTGCCATCAAACAGCTCAGTCTGTGGAGAGGAACTTCAGAGTTCAAGGTGGTTTCTCTGTTTGGATTTGGGGTTTTCTCTCTGTCCCAGGTGCTTGGTAAGCTTTGGACCCGAGCCCCAGCACACCGACAGCCTGCCCGTGTGTCGGGATGCAAAGGGCACACCTCCCTCTCTCCTACAGGCACTGATCTGTTTTCATCTTCCTACTGCTGATGTGGCACAAAGCCTGGAGAAGCGTGTTTGTGTCAGCTAAAGCCCTTCACTATTTTAAAGAGGCGTTTGTAAGAAAACAACATCATATCTCAGAAAAGCCTAAACCTCCCCAAGAGGTTATCTAATCCACCTCTGCCTCCGACAGATTGTAAGCATTCAGCAGAACTAGTTTACAGCTGTTAAAATAAATAAAAAAATAGCACTGGAAGATTTCATGCTCCCCCAAGTGGTCTATTCTAGCTGTCTTCCAGACAGATCTTTTCAATGCTTAATCAACTGCTTGCCTGCTGTAGTTTATACCCTGTATTAATAGTCCTGTCCTAACCAGACCATTCCTCTTTCTTTGAGTATTCACTACCCCTTTCCCCCTCAATCCTTCTTTCCATATTAAAAAACAAAAAAGTATCCCATTTTTTTCTTATCTAGATATTTGTTTATCATGCTGCTGCTCTCTGGCCCCATGAAGTATGGTGACATTCCTTACGTAAAAATGCCTAAAGATGAAACTCCGCATTCCAGCAGAGCCCTTCTCATGTTTGACACCACAGTCCATCTGAACTATTCTCCCAGATGAATTTAAAAACTGTATAAAAACTGTTTAGATATAAAACTGCAGCAAAAACAAATATTAAGCATTACTAAAGTAATTTTCAAATTGTTAGGTTAAAAAATAAAAAGGCCACAGGAAAGGCTCTAGCTGTGAGTAGAGGCCAGCAAGAGACCCTCAGTAATACTGTGTTTCTCCTAGGAACAAAGAACCCGTTAGCTTGAACAATAAATCAGTTCTACGATAATTTGGCAGACAGATCAGAGCAGCCAGTTTTATTGGGAGCAGTAATATCTACAGAAATGGGTATTACTTTTTAAGATATTAATAAAATTTTATCACCAAACAGCAAAACATGGTGGTTGGGTCATGTATAAATCTCTTTTCATTATTGCAGTGGGGCAGGTGCTGTTCTCCGTAAGGCTCTGATAACACAAGTGACAGGAACTCGGCCACTCTGAGTACATTGAGTCAGCTGCTGTAACGTTGGCTCCTGATGCGAGCGCTAGGCCTTGTGTCACCTACAGCGAGTCAATAAAGAGCACACACAGGATTGTACAGGAAGGCTGGACACAACATGTCAGGTTTTTATTAATCAAAAGTGAAGCTGAACCCCAGAGTGGTTTAATTTGTTAAAACCGTATGTTTATATGGGAGATATTTTTCTTTCATATTCAACACTATAGTGCAAGAATCAAACTTCGCAGCTGTTCATCCTTTGAGAATCAAATACTAAATGGAAAATGAATTAAAATAAGGGTCCCTCAATGGATCAATTAAAAAAAACCATTTCACTCAAAAGAACAGATCTATTTTAAGAACGGTCTTACTAAATTCTCCCAAGTGAAAGACCTTTAAAAGCACTTGGAGCCTTGAGGTAGCAACTTTATGCAGAATTTAATTCCCCTCCTGCCCCACAGAGCAGAGGAAAATTAGTAGCGCATTCTTAGCTCCAGCCAGCTAAGCAGAGTTGAATGTTCTCCTAATGAGGTTTGTGACTTTCTCTTGTGTCTTGAAATCGCAGTGTAGTGCTGCAGACCATCAGGAGGAAATCCACAGGGAAGGCCTCTTCAAATAAAATATACAGTTTGAAAAAAGTGAAAATAATCAGCAATAACTCTAACAACAAAAATTATGTGGAGTGAAAAAAGAACCCTAAAGCGTTTGTATTTTGGCAAGACTAGTTTACAAATACATGTCAAGAACAAGAGCCAATGGAAAAGAATGGGACTGACATTCAAAGGGGTGTTGATTTTTTGCCCTCTGTGCAAAATTGCACTTTGTTTTTAAAGTTTTAAGTTTTGCACTTCTGTTTCTACAAGAGAGCACTTTTGCCCTGTTTTCTTTACATTGTGAAACCTGTGCTGTCACATTAAACAGAAATACCATATGCCAGGATATTTGACCACTGAAAGTTCTTCTCACTGACTTCACAACAATCACAAGCAGGGAATCACAGACAAGAGACTTTTCTTCCTCTAAGTCTCGAAGACACTATCCTCTCTTTGCCCACTTTGCTGCTGAGTTCTTTTATTAAAAACTAGATCTCCCTCTCCTGCCAATTTCAGAGACTCCAGAGCACAGGTACTGAACACTGGGCAGTAAAAACCAAAAACCTGGGCTCGTTCTCCACGGCAGTTGCGATGAACAGTCACAGTGTAAAGGAATGAGCTGAGGTGCAGTGATGCACGCAGTTCTTCACAAACCAGCGCCTCGCTTCACTCCCTGCTCTTGGTATCGTGACTGACACACTTTGCTCACTGCTGGTGCTCTAGTCAGATACCTGGCAACATTGACTGTTTTACTACAAGCCTCTCTCACTATCTTCACGCTCCAAAATTGTACAGAACAGGTCGGTTAAACCAGACCAAACTAACTGCCAATTACGGCTTTTACACAGACGAGCTGCCTTACAGGCTCCTTCTCTTTCAGCTCAGGTCAGGTTGCCTCTCCACACCACAGAATGATGTCACACGCACCCTGGATGCAGGATGGCATTGCCCTTGGCTTCAGGGAGTCTAGAGAAAGGTGAAACTTCAAAAGCTTGTTCTTGCTCACATAAGATCCCAATCTTTTGATTTCTCATCCTTTCCTTTGAATTCAAGAAGCCATCAAATCCTCCCTTCCAGGCAGAATTACAGTAAGAATCTAACATCAGCCTTGCCTGTTTTTTGGGTTAAGCTTCAAAACAATTGCCAATCTTTGCATGTGCTGAGCTATACAACCCTGCCCTGCAGAGAAGGAAAGGCTGTAAGAACCAGACTCCATCTGTAAGGCAGCTCCACCTGCCAGGCTCCTCTGGATAAAGGAGAGGATATTCTGCCTGGAAGCAATGGAGGGCGGCTGATGGTTACTCGCAGCAAGTTTCCCTTCAGTTCACATGACAGCTGAAGCAGCACAGAAACTCATACTGGTTCGGAGACCACTTTATGTCTGGTTCACAGGACAGTCATGAGCTGGCTTCAGAAGGACTCCTCTCCTCTCTTGGAGGCCAGAGTATCTTAAAGTTTTATCTGTTATCAGTATGAGGACCTGAGGAGCGGGGGTTGGTTTTTTTCATTTCTTCTTGGTTTCTGTATATTGGTTTGGCTTCGTCTGGTTTATTTAGTTAGTTAGTTTTTAATTCTGTAATCAAAAAGAATTATTTTTGTCTTTGGTGTTAAACCTTGGAAGCATGAATGAGAAGTAACTGCTGCTTCTTTGGCTGTAATTTACAACAAAAACCCAGCCCAGTAAAGCAAGGGAAATTCACTGTTCTAAAATGCATGCAGTTAGAACAGCCACTTGACATCACGACCAGGACTTTAATAATACGGAAACACCTAGTTCAGTGGTGTCCATTACAAATCATGTGCATTATATAAAAATATGACTCCGATTACAGTAACTGGACAACAGCCATTAAAACTTATCAAGTTTCCATCTTACTCATA